TTTGGCTACTGTATATTTAAAATATAAATTCTGTTTATTTTATTTAAAATAATGATTTATTTATATTGATATATGTACATAAGGGAGAGAAAAGGTTCTGGTGGTAAAGGTTATATAATTGATGCAAAAGTTATCTATACATTTATTATTGCTAACCAAATTTCCTGATTTAAAAAATTTATATAGATTCCTAATATAGCACCATTTGTAATTTGAATACAAATATTTCATCTGTTTGTTCCAAAAATCCAAGCTCAAGTAATTTATCTTTATCCAAAAAAATGAATTTTTTACAAAAAATAAATTGTCATCAAACATCGTAATAGTATTTATAGCACCCTGTGCAATAGTTGGGAAAATCATCAAATGGAAAATATCCATACTTCTTTTTGATAGGTTTGGAAAGTCATTCAAATAATTAGTCTAAAAGAAAAGAATACCTGTTGATAGCCCCTACTGGTTTTGTCACTCTGGACATTGGTAGAAAGATCATACACTCATCCTTGAAAGTGTGGTAAGCATTTGGGAGGGAAGATAAAAAGAAACATTGATTTTTTCAAACAATGCACATAAGACTGAGCTACAGAAAATTAATGCTATGATGAACAATGATCAATATAATGATTACAATAAATAAAATTTGTATTGATAATAATAAAACAATTTTTTGCTTTTATATTTATTCATCTATATTTATTTAGAAATGGAATTGCTCCAACAATTCAAACACTTGAAGGAAATGATTATAGTTTCTTAACGAGTTTTAATCCCAACGAGAAATGATAACAAATTCAAGAAAGTTTAAACCATAATAATAACAAAGGTACAGAAATGAATAATTGTTTTGGTGCGAAAGTTGTGTTGTTGTTGATTAATGCCATCCACGCCCCGTGAACATATATGACACAGAAACGTAATATTACATCTAATCTAGAACGCACTCTTTTTCTCACACACATTTAATATATGACTTTGGTAATATTAATATTTATTATTTATTCGTAAGAAATGATCGACAATAAGATAGTTCCAATTAATTATATAATAAATATTAATATTAAAAAATCGCACGTAATAATCGAAAAAGTCTTTTTTTTAAAAAAAATGTCTTTACATCATAAAATCTTTTCATCGTTGGAATCATTGAAATCAATTGATTCTTTGTTAATTTTTTTTCTAAGTCTCGTGATAATTTATGTGACGCAATTTTATTACAAGTACTATACAAGAATCAATCCATTGCCAGGACCATTTCCACTCCCACTTATTGGTAACTCGATTGAATTCCATAGGAATAATGGAAATCTACAAACATTTCTTGTTGAATTGAATCATAGATATGGAGCAGCGTTTGAGGTGTATATTGGAAGATCTAGAAGAATAATTTTTTGTGATGTGGAACATGTTGATAAATTGTGCTCAGCATCTAAAAACAATGCTTTTTTGGTTAGAATGCCTTATGTTAAAGGATTTGACGAACTTGGTATAGCTGGTAAAGGAATAATTATGAATTATAACGTAAAATCATGGAAATATAATAGACAATTCTTCACACAAGCCATATTGTCACCCGGGTTTGATAATAAGTCACTTGATTGGACAAACAAATTATTAAAAGAAATGGAAAAATATTGGCAACTTTTAAAAAATGAAAATGATAATAAAATTGTGATCAATCTTGAATCTTGGATTCATAGATTTACTCATGATGTTATATCAGTGGTGACGACAGGCGAAAGAGCCTATTCAATGGCGTGTTATTTAAATACACTCTACGACAAAAATCTTGATTATCCATCAGCAATTTTAGGAGATTCAGAAAGGTTTATCGAAGGAGTTAGAACGCATTTTCTTGGCGCTCCATTTTTTATAGCAGTGCCAAATGTTATCAGACACTATTTTCCAATGGCAAAATCCAGATCCAAAAAAATAATTGATAATAGAGTGTATTTGAGCGGACAAATTGATAAAGTTGTAAAAAAACGTAGAAAAGAAATTGAAAATATACCATTGGGTCAAATAGAAAGTCATGACATGTTAACATCAATGCTTGTTGCTAATACTACACGTGATTTTAATCATATTAAAACTATTGAAGGCGAAGAATTAAATCGACCATTGACTGACGAGGAAATAGGCTCTAATATATTGGATGCATTTTTGGGTGGCACTGATACTGTAAGGAAGGATATTTATAAATCTATTTTTGTTAATTAATTTAATTAATTAATTTTAATTTTAAAAAATATAAAAATAGACGGCAAATTTGTTTTGTGTTATTGCATATTTTCTTGCCAAAAATCCACTCGTGAAAAAGAAAATGGTGGAAGAAATAGATTCCATATTTGACGGCGATAAAACACGTGAGATAACACACGAAGATTTAAGTAAACTCAGGTATTGTGATGCAGTCATAAAAGAGGTAGATCGATTGGTGCCCATTTCTAATACGATATCAAGATACAGTACGCGTAAGGAAGAGGTAGGAGGATATGAATGGCCGGCTGGTACATTCTTTAATCTGAACGTACCGGCAATACATCGTAACCCCAAGTATTGGAAAGAACCAGAAAAATTTAATCCCGATAGATTTTTGAATGGTGAAAACGAAATTGTTAAGAATTCATTTATAATGTTTGGTGCGGGATTGAGAATTTGCCCTGGTAGAAAATTGGCGATACTTGAACTGAAGTGTTTGATGGCTTCGATTTATAGAAATTATGATTTAAAATTGGTAGATGAAAATGCCAGAATACCAATCCATTCTTCTTTTATTACCATGTCTCGAGAAATATTGGTTTATGTTGTTGCCAGAGAATAATCAAACACTTTTATTTGTCATTATTTTATATTTTATATTTTATCTATTTTTTATTTATTAGATAAATGTATATAAAAATTCATTCACATTGTTAAATTAATAAAATGTCATTTATTATTATATTAATGAGAAAAAAAGAGAGAGGAGAGAAGAAGGAGAGGAAAAAAAAATAGTGAAAAATTTTTTAATTTTACAAGAAATTGATCAAAAGATTTTTTTTATTAAAAAAAAAAAATTAAAGAATAAAAGATCAAAATTTAACACCCGGATATTAAAAATTTGGCACCTGGATAATCGGTGATTATTACTCAATTATCTTGAATATTTGCTGAATAAGGCTCCGAACGAATCAATGAAATTCAAATCACCTAATATTTAATTTCGATTCGAACCTGATTCGAATCTATAAATGATTTGATTCGACTTGATTCAAATCTAATCCAAATATATAGATTAAATGGTTTCGAAAGTCAAAAAAAAATATTTGCCTGGTGCAACAATTGCATTTGATCTACAGCCATAAAATGGTTCCACACCTCACTTCTTGTTCTTCTTTGAACACATTGATTGCACTGTGCCTGTTGAAGAAGTAATTGAAGAGGTATCATTTTCAAAATGCAATTATCGTCATTCATCATATTTATTATTTAAATTTAGGACAATGAATTTTGCAACTGTAATTAATATTAATACACAGAGTTTCTATTTGTAATACAAATTCTTATTCGAATATAAACCCTATTAATATGACATTAAGAGAAATTTAGGAATCTGTTTTATTAGGCCGACTAGTTTTGTTGTTGGCACATGGGTTGGAGTAGAATTAGATGATCTTTTGGGGAAAAAATGACGGTTCAATTGATGGGAGACATTATTTTGATTGTGAGGAGAAACATGATATTTTCACCATATTTTGTTAGAACCTCCTTTATTGGCAGAAGTTGAGAACCCTCATTATGGAATTCCTCAAAATTAGTACTGACAACAAAAGCCATTAATTAATGATAAACGCTTCCAGGCTTGTCATTACTGTTAGATATTTCTTTACTGAATTTTTAACATTTTGGAAGTTATAAATTAACTCATGAAGATATTGTTGAAGGCTTTTTAACATCTAAAGTAGTAAATGAATCTTTTTTTTTTGGATAGTTTTTAAATATATAAATAGTTGTATAATTGATTTATTTAATTTTTTTTTTGGCTTGAAGATTCTATATAAATAATCTTTATATTGTAAATAAAAATCTTATTTTTTTGTTTTGGGCTAATGTCTTATAAATAATATTAAATCCTTATTAGTAAAATATAAAATATATTATTAATTTTATGTTTTATCACCAACAGAAGTTTTTGGTGTACTGCTAGTATTGCCATTAGTTTTAGGATTGTTAGCATTAGTACTATTAGATGTTGAAGTTGATCCATCTTTCTTGGAATCTCGTTCAATTTTTTCCCACCCTAACATAAAATCATAATCAATAAATAAATACAATCAATTAATAAAAATATGATTTTCTAAAAAATTTTGATTTATTTACATTCTAATTTTTCTTCTGGTCTAATTTTAGCCAAATTTTGAGCTCTTCTTCTTGCATCAATATCTTTTTTTGCAAAATAATATGCTCCTCCACCAGCTTTTTTTAAAATATTATGTAATTTTAAATAGTCATAATTAGTTAAATATCATTATTATTAATTGTACTTGTTTGTATACCTAATATAAGTGTCACCCTTAAAAAATTTTATAAATAAATTAATAAAAATTAATCAATAACTTAATTACTGTTATATAAATTAATTTATCAAATTACCATCCAAGAACTAATGATCCAGGAGTATTCATTATTATTATTTTCTAAATAATCAGAGATAAAAAAAAAGATCTACAATCAACATCAGAAAAATCTGGATATCATACCATACTGAAGGCAACTGAGTACCGTGCCAAAAAAAATCCAAGTTTAACATGGCAATTCATATCCCCCCCAGTACATTACTATTACTATGCTACAAACAGGAAAAATCTTTTTTTATTTATAAATATAAATCTAAATTTATCTTTTGGTGTCCTTCTAGTTTCAACAATTATTAGTAAACTCTAATTGTAATATTTATTTTCTACAAAAAAAAACCATCTTCAGAAGCACAAAAGGGTTTGACATTGAACATTGTATTTAACTTGATAAATTAATTTAATTGATTCAATTCAAAGTTTGTTTCAAGTATCAATTGTCAAACAAGTAAATGATTTAAATTTTTATTTATTTATTAAAATCTTGGAGGAAAAATAATTTAAAATACTTATGTTAAAGTGTAATAATATATATTTATGCTTTACTTTCAAAAACTATCTTTCACTAAACAATACTCTCCATTGCTAAAGAAAAAAAAAACCAAATAAAAAAATAATTATACACAGGATTAGTATGTATGTGGTTACAATTATGAAGTTGTATAGATATACAAAGTCAAGATGTGACAACGTTATTTATATTAATATGTTCTAAAGATTCAATCATCTAGTTCCCTTATTTCTTGGTGATGTAATCACTTTTTCAATTTAATACTTATTGGCCAGTTGATACTACAGATATCAGAACCCCTAAATTATATATATCTGGTGCTGTTGTATATGGTTTCTCATTTAAAACTTCGGGCGCGAGATATGGTAATATTCCAAATATATCATTTTTGTTTGATGCAGATGTTTGTCTAGCTGGGTATGATAATCCAAGTCTGTAATTTATGAAGGACTAGAAGATTGAAGAATATTACCAACATGAAGATTACGATGAATAGTTTCTTCTTTATGAATATATTTCTTCAATAATTTCTCTAAGAGTACTAATTTTGTCTTCTCATTTTAAAATTTTAAAATCCTCTGTTAAATAATTTTTGAAGACTTATACCTACCTTCCATACATTATATTCTTTTGTAACTGAATCTTGTGTTGATCCATAAATCATATTATATGAAATGATTTATCATGAAGTTTCACATAATTTTTGAATTAACGTAACAAATAAAATATTTTAATTACAACAATAACAATCAATAATATTTTAAAATATCTGAAACTAATATTAATAGAATCGTGTAGTTTTTTTAATGAACGACACACAGTCTTATCTCACTATACCTTAAACGGTCAGAGTATTTCTTTATAACACAAAATCACGATCTCGCATTCTTATTGGTCAATTTAATGATCAGCAAAGTAAAAATAGCCAATCGACCAACTTTTAAAGAAAGTTATATAAAAAACACAAGGACAACACCCGAAATTTTTTTACAGACCAGTCAGCTATATCTCAGATATCATTTTCATATTAGGAAGTGATATGCTTAGAGAAAATTTTATATATCAGAAAAATTTTTATCAGCTGATTAACTGTTTAAGGGATACCCTTCTGTATATCTATCATCATTTAAACCAAGTAGCTTTGTATAGTCTTCATCTGTCCTTTCAATATTTGCTAAATCATTATAAGAAGTCCATTGAAGATAATAGTGATTTTCATATCTTGCATATCTTGTTGATTTAAGTTGTACTTTTTTTTAATCAACTCATCTAATGTTTCATTGCCACTAGTCCATCCTCCAATTACATAATAGCTTTGAATCACATGATTTACATTATGAATAAGTATTATATCTATTGCAAGTTGGACATTTCCCATACTTTTCTTTTTTTTTATATTTATATAAATCTTCATAATTTTGAAGACTTCCATCTCATATCTATTACAAAAATATATCCTTTGTAATTGGATCTTGTGTTAATTCAGAATATCTTTATAATATATTGTGTTTTTAAAGGAAAAACAACTTACAAAAATCAAGAGAGAACTTCTAATGGTTTATTTGGTGAAAAAAAAATAAAATTGATACTGAAATTGAGCAGGCTATGACATTGCAAATAAATTCAAGGACAAAGAAATTCCTATTTTCAATGCACTTTTCAAGATTACATTAGAGTATTTACACCATTCCCATTCTTCTATATACTATATTATATATTCTAGAATAAGAAAATATTAATATAAATGCAAAATATAATAATTTACAATTGTTCTAGAGCCTGTATGTATTATATATGCTAATGATGAATGGCTTGCATTATTTCTGTATATACATGTAGAAGTTTTTACATCAGTGCTGAAAATCTTGTATTAGAAATCTAAACATATATTTTTTAATCATACTTCTCTCCGAATTAAATATACATATAATTAAGTAAAAATAAATAAACTTTGGAATGAAAAGATAAACTTATGTGTATGCTTCTTTTAATGCCATAAATGCCATGAAAAGATGACATGTCAACGGGAACCGTGATAGTACTGTAATGTATACCAGAATTTATTCTCGACCCTTTGAGCTCTTTGTTTACCACCTTCAAAAACTTGTCATAAGCTGACCAATTGCAAATATTTTTAAAGACACTAGTCGTTTTGATTGATTATGTTTTCCTTTTCCTTGTTCTTGTTCTTTTCTTGTTCCTGTCCCTGTTCCTATTGTCTTTTTTTATCTACTCGTTTTTGTTGATTATTTTCAGTCATATTATTATTGTTGAAATTAGAATGATTTTGAAAAGATCCAGGCTGAAAATTTATTGATTCATATTAGTAATACTTTTAAATATTCGTGTTAATATTCATTATTGCTTTTTGTATACAGATTAAAGTTTGGCCACTCAAAAAAACTTTCTTTATCCATAAATAAAATTATAGTTGCATACAAAATTTTAAAGCATCATGCCTCATAATTATACTTATAATATAAATTTATAAAGAATTTTATGAAGTAACAGGGAGAAAAGAAAAAGAGGCTTTATTTTCAAAAAAATATATCGAATTGAATTATTAAATTAAAACTCATTTAATTTCTCTATTAATTTTCTATGAAATGGTTCACTCAACACAAATAATCCTTTAGTTGTTATGATACGATGAGTAGGCATTGGTTGATAGGTTTCAGAAATGATTTTGCCATCTCTAACTTCTACCATTCCAATAATATCTTCTGGAAATGGTATACGACCCCAAGGCGAAGGATCTCGTAAATCTTTTTTTTAGAATAAAAGAATGAATGAAAAGAATTCATTGATGAATTTGTTTAAAATATACAAATATTTTAATAATAATTCAAAAATTTACCAGAAATATGATGCCATCTAAACATAATAAAACAATTAATAAAGAAATAAAATAAATTATATAAAAATATTAGTTAATTAACAAATTACCCATTTTTTCGATATTTAGCAAATGCTTTTAATTCTAAATCTTCAATTGTTGCAACATTATCTGCTATAACTTGATGTAAAAGTTTTACAAATTTATCATTTTCCTTGAAATTTTTTGGAGTAGCTTTAGGCTGCGGTATAGATTTTTCATAAGGTATCCAACCAATTATAACATCATGATTTTTTACTTTGTTAATATCAGATAGAAAAGAAAGTGCAAATTTCTTTGGGTAATTATTATTCATCAAATGATAAAAAAGTCCTTTATAATCTTTATCTTCGATAGTTAAATTACTGCCATGGCTACTATCGTGACCAATATATCTCTTACCATCGCCATAATTAAATCGTTTTGTTTTTATGGAAAAATTATTACCGACCCTTACTTTCTGAATTTGTTCAATTTTTATCAATCTTTTGTCATATCTACAATAATTTTTAATGAAAGTTAACATTATAAAAATATCTTTTCTAATTTTTTTTGCGTAGATGATGATCAAAAGATCTATTTATTTGATTGGTTAATGAAAAGATTAGACTTTACATTGTCGTTGAAGAAGATCTTTTGAACTTTCTATCAATTTTTCCAAATAATATATTTACTATGACATATAGGGAGCGATCATTGAAGGGGCAGAAATTTAATTTTTGCAAGAATCTTTTTTAAAACAAGGTGGTATGGTGTAATGGGTCCCTGTTCAGGACGTGTACTCACTATACTCAAAATGCACAGCGAATTGCAATCGTATACAACCATCGATAAAGAGAGGAAATACCTGTTTAAACAATGAAAAATTAATCTAAACTTTTATTAATTGAATAAAATAATTAAAAAAGTGTAAACAAGAATTTTTTTAATAATAAATTAAAAAATAAAAGGAAACTTAATTTTTAATTTTCTTTCATTGCACTTTTTTTTAATAATAATTATAGTTATAACTATAACTATTAATAATAATAATAATAATAATAATAATCTCAGTTTGTACAAATTGCTCTTTTTAGTAAACAATTGTTAAGGAATATTATAACCTAGCATTAATTCATTACCTTGATGTCACCCACCAAATAATTAGCTCGGATTATGTATAATATATATATAATATGTATGTATATATAATATATATATTAAACATATATATATATGTATATGCATGTATGTGTGTGTCCAGGTTATGGTTTAAAAAAAATTTTAATAAACCAAAAAAGCTGTATATAAAGAGCAAATAATAGAGAGCAAATTAAATTTCCTTACTGCTCTATAAAGTATCAATCCAATTTTCAAGAAACTTTTCATAATGTTCTCATTCTGTTTTAGTAGTCCTTTCTCTATCTCTTTTTTTTTTTTACATAAATTAAATATGTATATATATATATATAGATGAGTTAAGAAAAATGTAAAATATAAAATTATGTAAAATACGTAAAATATAAAAAGAATGTCTAGTTCCATAAGAAATTAAACTAATCACGGTCAAAAATATGTTTACCACGTTGTTGGAAGTGAGTCATTGGTTTACCACTACCAACAACCCCAACTAATGTATATATATACATGTATAGAATTAATTTAATATATTAGTTATAAATATATAAAATTTATATAAATTAAATATCCTATTATTTATTTACCTTTTCCTTCAGGATTTTCAGGTGTAGCAAAAATACTCTTCTTATTTATCGGTGGTTGAGCTAATCTTTTTGTTTTTGTGACTTTTTTTCCGGGTACTGTTGAAGTGCTACTAGCAAAAGCCAGCCAACTTTTCTGTTTTTGAACCTGTTCGTTAACTTTTTTCTGTCCATCACCAGCCTTTTTTTTTTTGTGTTCCTTTTCCTTTTTATCAAGCGACATTTTCCTTTTATTTTTTTCTAGTGGTTTTATATCTTGAACATTTACAAGTTCAACGTTATTATACCCTTTAAATATAACTGAAAATACTTGATCTCCTCCTCCAATTGCTGTTATTTCTGCTTGATAGAATTGTCCGTCTCCTGACCAACGTGCAAGACAAGAGTCTCCCACTTGAAGTGGCTTTGTGAAGGTTGGCATTGTGCTTGAAATTGGAGTGGTAGGAGTAGAATTGGTTCTAGGTGAAATTGAAGAGGGAGACTTTTTAGGTGAAATTGTTACCTCTTGATCAAGTAGTTTTATAAGTTCTGTTAAATCAGCTTTTAGCTTTAATAATGAAGCATTTTCTGGCTCACTTCTTAATGCAAGATTCACTTGATCTAATTTATATTGATATTCAGTAAGTTCTTCTGTGCTCATCTTATTTTATTTATTAATAATTAAGGTTTTTTATTGAATTTATTATTATTATTATTATTGTAAAAAATTTTTTATTCTTGTAAAAATATAAAAAGAAAATTAACTAGGTGGGACAATTTAATGCACAAGTGTAACAGTATAAGTTAATCTTATGTGATAATAAACACAATCATCACCAAGATTTATTTTCTAAAAATGTCACAAGTAAGATAAATTTATTTTTGTTTCCCAAAAAGAATTTTTTTATTTATCAATCCATTGATAAAAATAATAGGAATCATTTGATCAAGAAGAAGCTATTGAATTCATTGAACATGATGAAATTTTAGAAGAACAATTACTTGATGAAAATGATAATGAACAAATTCCAATGGATGATGATGACAATGGTGATGGTAGTGATGGTGAGATTGCTAATCTTGAAGAAGTAATGCTGGATGATTCAGTACAAGGCTTTTTTGATCATAAAGGTTTTCTGATTAGTTGATCTCTTATGTATACATGTCACAACATAATATTAATTTTGGTATCTTGATCATAAATTATTTAAAGAATCGGTGTATGCCGTTGATATAAATCCTATTAATGAAGAAATAATTATATCCGGAGGAGGAGATAATAAAAGTTATCTGTGGAGGTCAGATACTGGTGAAAAGTTGCACGAACTTTCTGGTTGTTGTCAGAATGCTTGATTAATAATAATATTTGATTTGATTTGATGAAAATACTTTTTTTTGATCTAATTTATTGATTGATAAAATAATAGGTCACGATGATTCAGTTGTCTCAGTGTCATTTAGCAAAGATGGACAATATGTAGCAACTGGTGGTATGGATGGTAAAATTATGGTATGGAAGGTTGAGAATGGTCAACATGTTGCCACACTAGAAGGTCCAAATGAAATTACAGTATGTCCATAAAATTATTTTGTATATATGTATTTTGATAATATCTAATATAAATATATACTTTTGATCAGTGGTTGGATTGGCATCCCAAGGGCAATGTTATTTTGGCTGGTACTGCTGAATCAACAATCTGGATGTGGCAAAGTATATAAAATTATTCATTGTTATCATTTTGGTTTTTTTTTTAAAAAAATACATAATTAGAAATATATTTGTATAATGTTTAAATAGTACCTTCAGGCAACTTTATGAATCTATTCGCTGGACATTCAGCATCAGTTACTGCGGGTCAATTTACTCCAGATGGTAAAAAGATTGTTACAGGATCAGAGGATTCATCATTAATAGTATGGGATCCAAAAAATGCCACATCTATTTTTAAATTATCAAGTAAATTATCATATATTTTTAAGAATATATTTGTTTGGTTGTTGATTAAACTATATTTATAGCATTAAATTATTGTTGTTGTTGTTACTGTTTAAGATGATGACTCAAGATTTCATCATGAAGGAATAACTTCACTTGCTATCAATAAAGAAAATAGTTTAGTTCTCACAGGTTCTATGGACCATTCTGCTAAATTAATCAATCTAACGAATGGACATGTATGAATAATAATAATTATTATTATTTCAATTCAATTCAATAAACGCTAAAATCGTTATTATCTCTATTACCATTATTATTATTAATTATATATATATAGATTATTGGATCTTTTGAAAATCATACCGACTCAATAGAAACTGTTGGTTTTTCAGACATGTAAGTTATATCTTTTTTCAAATATAAATATTCTCTTTATCTTAAAAAATTTAAATTAATAAATATTTTTATTTAAGATCATCATTAGCAGCAACAGGCTCGGTTGATAATAAATTAAATATTTGGGACCTTACTACAATGCGACTTCGGCAAACCTGTCAACACGATGTAAGTTTTTTTTAGAATATTTACATAAATATGCACGTATTAGTGAATTATTAACTTATTATATTATAAATACTATAATAATATCATAAGGACGCAATAGTTCAACTTCAATGGCATCATGAATCACCCTTGATAACAACTTGTTCAGTTGATAAAACCGTTCGCATTTGGGATTATCGAACTGGTAATTGTGAGAAAGTTTTCCATGGACATGATGACACAATATTAGGATTCGTTATGTCAAAGTATAGATCTATTTTCTTATCCTAATGCTAATAATCAAATAAAATAATACTAATAAATAATACATTTTGATAATAGAGATGGTAAAAAAATAGTAACGGCTGGTGATGATCATGTGTGTCTTGTATTTAAACTTTGATTTTTCGTTTGCAATAAAAGAAATTATTTAATTTAAATAAAAATATATATAAAAATTTTTTTGTTTTATTTGCCCTATAAAAATTTCTTTCTTCCTTTCCTTAGAGATAAATTTTATATATAAAATCCATAATTATATAACCCATATAAAATACCACCAATATTAATTGTTTCACTAAACCCACATAATAAGATTTTTAATAAATGAATTATATATTTTATATATAATAATATTAAAGATGATAATAATAATAATAAGCGATATAATAAAGATGTACTGTATATAATGTTATAAATGATTTATGAAAACAAAAATATGCAAAGAAACACGAAAAAGGTGCAAATATGCCTTAAAGCCCTAAATATTTATGTAGTAACATTCTCAATAATATGGTCGACGAGGATTGTTCTAGGAAGGGCGAGAGGTTAGTAGTGCACAACAATTTCCAATAAAATAAAATAAAATTTTAAAAAGAAATCATATATAGCAAGTAATGACGCAACCAAACAGAAAATGAAGTTGTGCATCAATACTTTCTTTCCCCCAAAAAAAGGAGAAAGAAAAATGCATAAACACAAATAATAGAAAAATCTAGAAATGAAACTTCTTCTTCAATTATATCTAGGTAGATTTTCTAAAAAAGAAAACTTCACATACCAGAGGGTTTGGTCTAAACCTATAAGCTAGCATCATTCGTTTGCGATAAATTTCAAATTCGTCATCTTCTTCTTGAACATCATCAGGTTTTGTTTGCCCTAAACCAGCATTTGTTGGTCTTGTATCAGCTCTATAAAGCAGTAATCACAATAATAATGGTAATAAATAATATTTGGAAATCAATAATAAAATTCAATTACTAAATTATTAATAAGGGCTGTATATATCTTCTATATTGCGACATAACTTGTTAACAGGAGCAGAAATCCCTTCACCGGATTTTCCTAAACCAGAGCCTGCCTGCCACCCTTGCTTCATCAACATTTTAAACCCAATGTTTGATTGATCTAACTTATTACTAGCATAATCTTCATGTTGTGGTGCAGGGCCACCGGTCTTAATGGCTTTGACTTCTTCCTCAAATTTTACCAATTCAGTTTTAGGCAAAAAGTCAGCTATATGATGTGCACGCTTGGCTTCAGCTTGAGCTGTCAACAATGCTGCATGTTCTTTTTAATAAAATTATTTATGATAATTAATAAAAAAACTATTTTCTAGTTAAAATAGAATTCATATATGAAATATATCAATTAATTACCCGCTGTTTTCTTCATTTCCTCTGCTCTTTTTTTGTGTTCCCATGTACCACCATCTATAATTTCGTCTTCGGGATAAACCCATTTAGAACCAACACGTATCATTCCTGGTTTATAAGTATCAGAATATTTTACATATAATTTTTTTTCCGGCGTATTTTGTGGTGAAGTAATTTGAGTGGAATCAGTTTTTACTGTTGAATTTGGAGGACTATGAGTGACATCAGTTGTTGTTGTTGAAACGAAAATTTTTGTGGTTCCAATACTATTACTACTACTACCACCACCATTACTACCACTATTAGTAGTTGCAACACCCCGAATTTCTGAATCAACAGAAAATTCAGTTGTTGCTTGAACTTTTGAAGAGCCGGTTTGATCCCAACGACTTCTTTTCCGTTTTTTTTTGTTTTCCACAGAATTTTGAGTGGTAGAAATACCCTTGACTTCTTCTACATCTGCTTTATTTAAATCCATGACTTTTTTTTAATAATCTAAAGGGTTTAAAGTATATAAATGAATTGGTGTCGTGTAACTTTACAGATTATGATAAATTTTGCAGATCACTAGGTTTAAATATGGGACATAACCAGACAAGCAGATCAAGTGTCATTCAATATAAACGTTACACGAATAAAATTATTATCGTAACAAGCGATTTTCAACATAATAAATTTTTTAGAGCCAGACTGGGGCTTTTAACAACAGTTAAAAGAAAAGACTGGCTTAAATATTGGTTATTCTACACCAGGTTGAAAAAGTTTCTTTTCTTCACACTTATTTTAAGATTATCGCTCAACTAGTATGCAGACTAAAGCAAATTCAGCAGCAACAGTT